GTGCAAAACATCAGTTAATCTTTTCTTACACTGTGGATTATTTTCCAATTTATATAATAAAATAATAAATACATACAAACCCAAATCTTGCTGTTTTAGCAGCATCGTACAGTCAACACAGTTCAACTCATGCTTGGTTTCAGTGGAGAAGTGAAGACCTTTGTCCACAGTTTTCAGCAGCTTAATTACGAGTCAGTTATTTGAAGAACTCTCTATGTGAAATATCAATAAAACATGAAATATTGTCCTCACCTGACAAACACAAGTAAACCTGCCATTTGTCTTATTGACTGTACACGCCATCCTCACAGTGGGCGTCTGCACACAGTCTGAGTAAAGAAAATGTGATCATATCAACATTATAAGAGATGATCTTGATAATACATTAAAAAAATAATGATAATGCTGTATGGCAAAACTAGACAGTAACTTTGGTACATTAATGAGCCAGCAGTTTTCTGTGGGTTAAATGTGTGACTAACATAGAAACAGACAGAACATTTGCTATAAAGTACATTTGTATTACCAGAATGAATGTATGTATAACGTGTTGTTACTTACCCAATACACACAAATGCACACTCGGTAAATTTCCCCCCACATTTATTCCCTCTGTGCTGTGAAACTCTGGTCTGTATCGTCCTGACTCGTCTTTGCTCAGTTGAATCAGCATCATCATTTTTCCCTAAGATCACCTGTTTCTGTCTGCGATGAAAGATTATCCTTGCGTCCTTGAACCATCTCAGGCTCTCTGATTACTTTAACTTATATTTAAGTGACACAGTGAAGTTTGAGCCTGTTGCAGCGTACACACAATCATCCTGAGAGCCTTTGAAACAGAAAGATGAGATTAGCCATGTTAGAAAGGCTCTGAACGATTGTATGTCAATTTATAACATTTGAAGGACATTGTGTTATTCATACTAAATTCAGGGCTGTACCTAAACTTTGTTCCATCTACAGACTTCTTACAAATTTCCAAAGTAGCTGCCAAGAAATCACGATGCAGATAAAAAGTGTCAGACACTAACATTTAATTTCTGTGTTCATGAGCAACGCTGCTTTGCAAAGGTGTCCACATTGCATAGCTTGAGTTAGTACACAGCATGTAAACACATTTTCTGCATGTACAAATATCTTTGTGAGAATTTTCAAAATCTCCATAGAGATGTTATATCGTGTTTTAATTTGATAAATCATTGACAATCAGCTGATATTTCACAATCTTCTCAATAATGTCGACTACTTTAGAAGCTGACTACTTTTAGATTGACTGGAACTTTTTGAGATCACGACAATCATCATGACATTGCTAAGAAAACAAATATACTGTGAGTGTGCAGGTATGGTTTTGAAGAGGAGAGGCCTCGTCTGCTCTCATAGATAAAGAACAAAGCAAATGTGACACTTAGAACAAAGACTTGCTTCAGCAAATAATATATTTAAATATAATCTGTGATTATATAGTCAGAGATGTTGAAGAGGTAAGCAAGAACTGTCCTAATTTGGGTGATTATTAATAATTTAGACATAAAATATAAATGTATGTTTTTCCAAAATGACTTCTTCTTAAAATCTGATAATACAAACTGATTTTTGTTGTTGCCGCTACAGGGTCCTTTTCGTTTTTTCTTTTTCTTTTTCACTGTCAGAGGAAAGTACATTAAATTAAATTGCATAAGAAAATTAATATCCCGTCATTATTTTGTAAAATTAAATGTGTATTTTATTTCAAATAAGTGAGAAACACTTCTGTGAGTGTCGTGTGGCAAATAAGGTATGCATTGTTAATATCCGGAGATTCGGGGTGTCCCATGAAGCAAGATTAATGGGTTATTGAGATAAGCTGAACCTGAGTCAGAGCTCAAACTCT